TTTTGGTTTTTCGAGACAGGGTTTCTTTGTGTAGTTTTGGAGCCTGTAAACCAGGCTGGTCTTGAACTCACAGAGATCCTCCTGCCTCTGCCTCCTGAGTGCTGGGATTAAAGGCGAGCACCGCCACCTGGCCCACCCAAGAACTTTGAAACCATCCCTAGTGAGAATCCCAAGTTTCCAGTCTCCCAACTTATTTCTTCTCTTCTCTTTTTTAATGAGGAGAAAAGAAACAGTTATTTACTTATTTATTTTTGTTTTTTGAAACAGGGTCTCATTAAGTAGGTAGCTCTGGATGGTCTGGAACTCAACTACGTAGAGTGAGCTGGCCTCAGACTCACAGAGATCCTCCTGTCTCTGCTTCCCAAGTGTTGGGACTAATAGTGTGTGCCACATGTCCAGCTTAGAGACAGTCTATTAAGGGTTAGAGCCAGTCTACTGAAAAAAGAGAAGAAAGTCTCCCATGAGTGGGAGTTTGGTAGGACTGATACTCAAAAGCCTCTTTTTTTTCCCTTAAAAAATATATTTTAAGGGCAAGTGTGGTGGCACACGCCTTTATTCCCAGTACTTAGGAAGCAGAGGCAGGGGAATCTCTGTGAGTTTGAGGCTAGCCTGGTCTACATAGTGAATTCCAGGATAGCCAGGGCTACATAGAACAATCCTGTCGCAAAAAAAAAAAAAAGCAAAAAAAATTTTTTTTGAAGTTTTATGTGTATGTGTGTGTGCTTAAGTGTGTGTATGTACACCATATGCACGCAGGTGCCTGAGGAAGCCAGAAGAGAGAGAGGGCATCATATTCTCTGTAGCTACAAGTACTACAAGTATAGACAGTTGAGAGCCAGCTGGCAAGGGTGCTGAGAACCAAACCCGGGTGCTCCTCCAGGGCAGCCAGTGCTCTCTCTCACTGAGCCATCTCTCCAGACCCTGTTTTTTTTTTTTTTTTTTTTTTTTTTTTTTTTTTTTGAGGAAGGATCTCGAGTATTCCAGACTGGCTTCAAACTTGATATGTAGTCAGGGAAGACCTCGAACTCTGCTCCTCCTGTCTCTACCTCTTGAGTGCTGTAACTGAAACAAGTGTGGGTTACTAGGCTAGTTTTATGGGGTGCTGGAGAGGAATCCAGGGTTTCATGCATAGTAGACAAACACTCGATCAATCACAGGCTGTGTCCTCAGCCCCAGCCACCCAGTAACCCAAGCAGTAGGATCTCACCAGCCAGGACCTCCTTGATGACTCCAGAGCAAGGGGGGTCTCAGGGAAGCCTCTGCGGTGGAAGGCACAAACCACAAATCCAGCCTTGTATCCTTCCCATTCTGTTCCTGTAGATTCTCTTCCATCCAGCCAGCAGTGTTTACAGAAGAATCTTCCGCATGCCAGGGAGTCCAAATTCAATTCTGATCCCTGGTGTATGTTCAAGGTCAACTTTGACCCCCTGGGCATGTTCATTCAACTATTATACACTGTGTGTCTACCTCTGTTCTGGACTCTGAGGCAACGTCGGTGGAAAGGACACACACAGTCCCTGCTGTTGTGGATGTCACAGCGTGGTGGGAGGGGAACAGTTAACCCATAACTCGAACAAATAATGCCAGGCAACAGTGAGTGGCTCATCCCTGTGATCTCAGTACTTGGGAGGTTCAGGTAAGAGGATTAAGGTAGCCTGGGCTACAGAGACCCTACCTAAAAGCTCAAAACAAAAGACAGGTCGGCAGCTCAATCTGTGATCCCAGTACTTGGGGGTGGGTGGGAACAGAAGGAAAAAGGACTTCAAGGGTCATCCTTAGTTATACAGACCAAAGGCTAACCTGGATTATCTGAAACCCTATCTCAAAAGAAGTTAAGAGTATTTGCTGTTCTTCCAGAGGATTGGGATCCATTTAACACCCACATGATGGCTCACAACTGTCTGTAACTCCAGTTCCAAAGGATCCAACACCCTCTTCTGGCCTCTTTGGGCACTGCACACATTTGGTGCACAGACAGGTGCAGGCAAAACACCCATATACAAATAAAAAAAAAAAATCAGGCCCAGTGTGCTGTGCTCGCCTTTAACCCCAGCACTCGGGAGGCAGAGGCAAGAGGATCTCTGTGAGTTCAAGGACAGCCTGCGCTACATAGTGAGTTCCAAGCTAGCCTGGGCTTCATAAGTGAGACCCTGTCTCAAACAAAACAAAAACTAATAAAATAGCTCTCCAGACAGCATCATTTGAATGGTAGCTATAAAGGGAGTAAGGTCAAGACAGAGCAGGGGAAGAAGAAAGGACGTTGTGGGGTGGGTCGTCAGGTGGTCAGGAAAGGCCTCTGGGGCAATGTCACTGGAATAAAGAGAAGTCACCCAGTGGAGGCCTCAGGTGTGAGTCGGCGGGGAGTTGATTGAAGAGCCTGTGTACATGTGGGCATCCATCAGGGAGGGCTGTGTTCTGGGTGGTAACTTCCTGACTTTATGTGCTCAGAATGTCTCAGGGGCTAGTTTTTCTCCTCTGCCTCCACCCTGTCCTCTCCAGGACACTATGCCCCCAACCTTTCTTCTCCAGCCTGCCCTAGATTCCAGGATTCCTGATCGCCGTCCAAAGCTGTCTACACTCTTTCATTAAGACTGACTTTGCTTTGACACAGACTTTGCCAAGCCCCCACCAAGGGCATCTACTGTGCCTGCTCACCATCCCTTGCCTTCTCCAACACCCACCCCACTCCAGAAAAAAGGAACTTTCCAGATTTGGCAGCACACCCTGAAGCCTCAAGGCCTGGCCTACCCCACTCACCACCCCGTCCCCTGCCTCTCCCTCCCTCCCTCCCTCCCTCTCCCCCCCCCCCTTGCCTGCCCCTGTCCTCTCTCTCTCTTTCTTCCACCTAACATTTACTGGCTGATGACAGGATGTCAAGCACTGGGTTAGGTCATGGACAGGAATTTTAAGGATGGAGAAGGCTTGATAATGTCCCCGGGGACCCTGGGTGTTGAGAGGTACATATGTAAAATGTTACTGAAAACAAACAAAACTACAACTTATTTTTGAGACTGTGTTTCACATCGCCCAAGCTGCCTTCAAACTCTGTAGCTGAAGATGATCTATGAAACCCTGGCTCTGCTGCCTTCACCTCGTGAGTGCTGGGATTGCAGATGTGCACCACCATGCCAGATTCACACAGTGCCGGGGCTCGGCGCATCCTTGGCAAGTACTCTACCAAATGAATTACATTACCAGGCTGTCATATGCTTCATTTATGTTTTTACTTTTTTCCCTTCCAGGGAGGGTTTCACCATGTAGTTCTGTCTGGCCTGGACTCACCATATAGACCATCATACCCCACTTTTATCTGGGACAATGGATATGCTGAGAGAATATTCTAATGTTGAGCTACATTCCCAGCTCCTAGTAGGGATATCTAAAAGGAAAAAACAAACAAACAAACCAAGCACCAGGTGTGATGGGCAGCCAGGTCTACAGATCGAGTTCCAGGACTGCCAGGGCTACACCTAGAAACCCTGTCTGGAAAAACCCAAATAAATAAATAAATAAATAAATAAATAAATAAATAAATAAATAAATAAATAAATAAATAAATAAATGGAGAAAAACAAAATCCCCAAATCGTTGTCAGCTATGAGGTACCAGGGAATCTAGATATTAATTTCATCGGGGAATATCAAAGGGATGAACTATTAGATGTATGAAGTTGAATAAATGACATTAACTCTTAGTCCTCACCAATATTTTTTTTAGATGAGATTTCACTCTGTAACTCTGGCTGGCCTAGAACTCACTAGGTAGACCTGGCTGGTCTCTAACTCGCAGAAGTCTGCTTCACTCTGTCTCTAGGAGTGCTCTAAAGATTTGATAGAATCATGTAGGTAAAAATATCTACTACAGTGCTTGGCATATGAAAAGTGCTCAAAAAGTGAGTTATATATTTTTTGTTGTTGTTGTTGTTGTTGTTAACGTCACATTTAGTTTTTTGGTGAGTAAATCTGAGGCTGCTGAATCTAGAGAACCGGGAAGGGCATGTTGCGCGGTTGAGCCTTGGGCAGACTCAGATGGAAAGAAGGTAGGTTGTGGAGGCTCCTTGGGTCATGTGATGAAAGGCCCGGTGTGTCCTGCTGAGAGTCTGGGCTCCATCTGGTCAGTGCAGGAACATTTGTGTTTTATCTTACTGTTTTGTTTTGTTTTAACTGTGATAAAATACAAGCAACATAAAAATCACCACCCTAACCATTGTCAAGGTTCATTTCAGTAGCATAAAGGACATTTACATGCTGCACAAACATCACCACTATCCATCCACAGAATTTTTTTTTTTTTTTTTTTTTTTTTTTGAGTTTTAAGGACAGATCTTAGCACCTCACGTGTGCAAGGTAAGTGCTCTCTACCACGGGCTGTACTGGGGGATTGCTTTCAGCTTGCAAAAACTGAGCTTTCCCAGTCTGGGTCTTTGCAAAGAGCCACCTTGTTTAACTCATTCATCTAAGTCCTGGAATTAGGGCTGGATGGCTCAGCAGGTACCAAGCTGCTACCAAGCATGACTACTGAGTTTCATTCTTAGAGCTTACATAAAAAATGGGTGGATAGAATTGACTCCCACAAGTTGTACTCTGGCTTCTACACACACACAGACACACAGACAGACACACCACACACACACACACACACACACAGACACCACACACACACACACACACACACACACACACACACACACACACACACGTAAATAATAGGAAAAAAGGTTAGCTCCTGACTTATGAGCATATGAAGGGGCCTAGACCTTTGTAGACTGGTTCTGGCTCTGGGCCAGTGAGGAGCAGCAGCTGCCCAGCCCCCTAGCCCCTCCTTCCTTTCTGGAGATCCTGGATGGAAGCAGGTTCCAGAAGAGGACCTTTCCCTCCTCTGGTTCCTCCTTCGCTTGGGCTCGAACCCAGGGCTCTCTGTACATAGAGGCAAGCGCAGTACCACTGAGCTATAGCCCCAGCCTTAAGGTTGGAAGGTTGCTAATGTCCCCCAGGTCCACCCCGGGCTTTTCTGGATCTTCCCTTTCTCAGCTTGTCTCCCTTTGTGTACGGTCAGGTATTTGGTACAGACCTCGCCCCTCCCCCATCTACCCACGCCTTACCTCCAGAAGACTAAGAAAGGGAGGACAGGCATCTCACTCAGACCTATCTCTAGTGCCCAGAAGGCATTCACCCTTTCTTTTCTAAGAAAGTGAGCCTGGTGCTCAGGGTCGAGACTCAGCCGAGAAGCTGGAGGCCACCACAGGCTGTATTTGCCATGTTGTTTTGTGTGTGTGTGTGTGTGTGTGTGTGTGTGTGTGTGTGTGTGTGTGTGTGTCCCCGTCCCTGTCCGCTTTAATGCTTTCTCCTAGTGGTGAAGAGAACAAGCTGCTGTCCTGGGTTTCTTGCAGAAGAAGCCATTGCATATTTAAGCTGAATTCAGCAGCCAGCATTATCTTGCTAAGACAAAGGCCTACTCTCAAAAAGTGTAGAGTCGAGGGTTGGGGAGCTGGTTAGGTCAATGGTAGAGTATTTGCCGACTCTGTTTGGGGCCCCGGGTTTCAATCCTCAGCACTGGGGTGGGGGGAGGGGACGTTTACAGTGTAGTTGCATAGACAGAGCACACAAGCAAGTTCATGATCCATTTGCTCAGGAGGGAGTTTCGGGTGCCGCCCGGGCTCCTTGTCTTCTCCCCACTGTGTGCTCTCCTCTCTCTCTCTCTCTCTCTCTCTCTCTCTCTCTCTCTCTCTCTCTCTCTCTCTCTCTCTCTCTCTCTGTCTCTCTCTCTCTCTCATTTCCATCTTCCTTGAGAGCCTCGTTCAAGCCAGTCACCACTCTCCCCTGGAATACTATGCTGTCTTGTAGCTGGCCTTGCACACACACACACACACACACACACACACACACACACACACACGCACAATTGTGGATGTGAGGGTAATATATATATAATAGAATATTTTATTTATTCTTTGAGAACTTTTCCACATATACTATGTATTTTAATAATAGCTACTCACACCTTCTCCTCCAGCTCTCCCAGGTTGACCCCCCCCACACACACACACACACATACACATTGACTGTGTTTTTGAGACAAGGTTTCTCTCTGCAGCCCAGGTTGGCCTCAGACGTTATCTTTGTGCCTTGGGTTTGGATTACCAGGATGGATTAGCATGGTTGGCTCTTTTTTCTGAGTTAGGGTCTAGTTGTGTTGTCCCAACTGACCTTGAGCTCCTGGCCCCAATCAATCCTTTTACCCCAGTTTCCCAATAGCTGAATCCAGGTTGTCACCATGCCTGATATGTTTATTGAATTTAGTCATGTCATTCCACAGTTTAAAATGCTAGAATTACTTCCATGATACTTGGATTAAACTTGAAATTACAATCCAACATAGTCATGCACATCTGTAATTTCAGCATGCAGAAGGCAGAGAAAGGAGGATCAGCAGTTCAAGGCTAACCTGAGCTGGATATGATAGTGTACACCTGCAATCCCAGTATTCAGGAGGCGAAGCAAGAGGCGAGGAAGGAGTTCAAATTTATCTTGGCTATTCCAGACCAGCCTGGGGAAAACGAGACTCTGTCTCAAGATCAAAACAAAACCAAAACCATCACCACCAACAGCACTAACAAATCATAGTGACTTTTTCTTTGTTTGTTTGGTTGGTTTTTGAGACAGGGTTTCTCTGCGTAGTCCTGGAACTCACTTTGTAGACCAGGCTGGCTTCGAACTCAGAGATTCACCTGCCTCTACCTCCCGAGTGCTGGGATTAAAGGGTTGCATCACCACCACCGCCGTCTTGGCAGGGCCTATTTTTATAAATTTGAGGAGGCACAGGCAGGAGGATCTCTTCAAGACCAGCCCAATGTACAGAGCCAGTTGAAGAAAAGAATCAACCCTGCAAGTTATCCTCTGACCTCCGCGAGTGGGCTGTGGCATTCCTGCCACAGAAAGAAGTGCAGATAATGGAATTTAAGTAGAAACTGCAACTTCAGTCTAAGTGACTTGACTTGTTCGGCTTCCGTAATGATTTGCCCAAATAGGCAAATGTGGAAGGGAGATCAGACCAGGGTGGGGTGCTGGGGGGACTAATAGCTGCAGAGCTAAGTCGCAGGGTAGTTCTGGAGGCGCAGGACAGGGCGAGGCTCAGGCTCAGGGCATGCTGTGGAGGCTTCTATCCCTCCCCGTGTGTTCTAGTTTCTCGGCCCTTCCTTGGTGTCTGGCGCTCTTCTTTATTCCTCTCACATTCTGTCCTCTGTTCCGGAGGCTTTCGAAGTAACTCTATCTTAGTCTCCTTTAAAATTCCCTGCCCTGTGCCCCCACTTCTGAGTACGTATCAGCTTGTCTTTCTGTTTGAGCCTCTGAGCGTGATCTTTTCCTCTATTCCACCCAGACACCCCCTCTGTCCTCTTGTCCCACCTTGTTTCGGGACAGTCCCTGGGGTCAGGGGTAAGAAAGACCCCTCTGGGACCAAAAGACGCCTCAGGGGGCGGGTCCAATCCCTCTCTTATTTACATATGTATGAGGTCTCCCGGGCGAGCATCGAAGAGGCGGGGTTCCTGGGGAGTGGGTGGGAAGGGGGCGGACACCCTCAGAGTCACAGAGTATAAAGACCGTGCGCAGGGACCGCGCTCCCCGCACTGCTGAGGAGCGGAGCCTCCGCCTGGGGCTCCCCGTTTTTTGCCTGTTTCCCCGCAACTACCCGTCCCCACCCCAGCTCCCATTGGCTGGGCCAACTGTGGTGTGGCTGTCGCCGTTCGTCGGAGGAGCCTTAATCGGCCACCTGCCGCGTTCCACAGCCTCCTTGCATCTCGGATTTCGGGGCGGCATCTTTTCCCTCCCCCATCTTTCCCTGCTTCTTTGCACCCCGCTTTTTCTGCGTTCCGCCAGGGTTTTGTAGCCGTCTGTTTTTTTGCACCCCCCTTTTTTTTGCTTTGCTTCTAGGCGGGGTGTAGGGTGAAGCTGTCTTGGCATCCCTTTCCCCTGGTTATCTTTCCCTGTTTAGACAGCCCCCCTTTCTATCGCAGTCGGGGGGGGCCTAGCCGCGGCGCACCTCCGCTACGCTGCCAGCAGACCACAGCGAGTGGCTGTGCACCCCGGAATTTGCAGCAGCTGCATATCTGAGCGGAGTCTCCCTCGCCTCGCTCCCCGCGCATTTGGGTGCGTGGAGGGCTTCAGCGTGCGACGCCCCCGCTTCTCCGCAGCCCCCCGCAGCGCGCCGGGACTCGCCCCGTGCCGCCAAGATGGTCATCCAGAAAGAGAAGAAGAGCTGCGGGCAGGTGGTTGAGGAGTGGAAGGAGTTCGTGTGGAACCCGCGGACGCACCAGTTCATGGGGCGCACCGGGACCAGCTGGGGTACGCGGGGCTGGCGCGGGAAAGGTGGTGGCTGACGGCCCGGCGACGCCTTTGGGGCGCAGGGTCCCGCGGGCGTCGCCCCAGCTCCCCTGCCGGGTCCCTGGCGTCCAGCCCCCACGGCCGGGCTTTGGACCGGGAGGGGCCCGAATCAGCGGTCTAATCTCTCTGGCTGGCCGCTGCGGAGGCGGAGAAAGTAGGTCACTGCCGCCTGCCCGCCCCCCGCGGAGCCCCCTCGGGCGGGGGGTCGCGGGTTCTGCGCGCGTGTCCGCGCTGCGGCGCTCCCGCTCCGGCTCCGGCCCTGCCGGTTGCACACGGTCTTCAGCCCCCCTCCCCGAAGAGTGCCCTAACTCTCTCCCTCTGGCTTTCACTAGCTAGCCAACCGCGTCTATTTTTAGCTCTCACCCACCCCCTTGGACCCTGGGAACATTCATGAGGGGGCGGATCTGGCAGGAGGGTCTGGGGAGGGGGGGGCGTTCTTAACAGCGGAAGTTGTTTGTCTATATTCCACCACTGGGCGTTTGGAGCCTTCTGTGGCTGCTTTGTGGGTCGGGGGCTGCCAGGAGGGATGACACTCTTTCTGGCTAGATGTTTTCAGATGTCAGAGGCGGAAGGAGAAATGGTCAGCTGTGCAGAGATGGATCCATCCTCAGACTGGGTGTTTCCGTGGGACTCTGATGCCTTGGGGGAGCTGTCTACCCTTACCTTAGGGGCGTGCAAGGACTTTTATGTAGCTAGGGTCTGCTGATGGGCACGGGTGAGGTGAGGGTGACACTCTTGGCCAAAGACAGTGCCGAGCTGGATAATTAAAGCACAAGGGATCCTGTGTGACATAATGTACAATAGATCCACATTGATTGGACACAATTTCATCAGACCACCCACCTAGGACTTAGGGGGCTGTGAAAGGAGATCAATGCAGCCCATTTCTTCAAGGAACCAGAGACCCTCTGGGATGTCAAGGATCAATGAATCAATGCTTGGGACAATCAGAAGACTCCACAGAGGAACTGTGTCTTCTGAGGTGGAAAGACTGATAGCTCAGGGTGCTTGGAACAGCATGTCCTTCTCACACGAGGCCTAGGAGAGGAGTCGTTGAGATAAGATGTCCAGGGAAGGCTTCTAGGGAAGTCTGTCTTCTCCTTGACTCTGACCAGGATGAGTCTTTGTAGCTGGGCCAGTGTTAGCCCCCTCATTTCAGGAACTGCTTCCACAGTGTAGCTTCCACAGGGTGTGTGTGTGTGTGTGTGTGTGTGTGTGTGGAGCCTGGTCTGAGGTGGTAAGAACTTGGCTGAGGACAGTGGCCTCACCAGCTCCCAGTAGTTGGGTTAACACAGCTCTAAGCATGAGTCCCAGTGCCGCAGGAACAGCTGTGCCTTTTCAGGACCGTGAGCAGGTTGAGAAGTTGGGAATGTAATTAGGGGCAGAACGACAGTGGCCTATTCTTGGAATTGTCACAACAGCTACAGTTTAGGTCTCTGGTGGCCTCCAAAAGGTCGGACTTGACTGCGCCCCAGGAGGAGGCTGGGAGTCAGGGCTGGAACTGGGCTCTGCCTGTTTGCCGCTTGTTTCCTTTGGCTCCCAGGGGAAGGCCCTAAGCTAGCCTGTCGCTCCTTGGCTATCCCAGGCACAGCTTGAGAGGAAAGAAGGATGGGGGGGAGGGGCTAGGTGAGGTCCTAAAGGGGGCGTGGGACCTGCTGACTCTCGTTCCTCCATCCTAGCCTTCATCCTCCTCTTCTACCTCGTCTTCTATGGCTTCCTCACGGCCATGTTCACCCTCACCATGTGGGTGATGCTGCAGACTGTCTCTGAACACACTCCCAAGTACCAGGATCGACTGGCCACACCAGGTGAGCGGAGAGGTTCCCCCACTGGCCCCGTGAACGACTGTGTCTTCGAGCCCTCCTGAGGAACGTAGTTCTTCCCAGGAGTTTGACGGGAAGTTCTTGGACCTGGCCTTCCTTCCTGTGCTCTGCCCGCGCCGGCAGTTGTGTGACCTGGAGGACTGGCAAATGCCACAGGAGATTGCCCTCCCAGGAAGGCAGTCTCACATCCTTACCCCATGCCTCACCCTGGTGTTCTTCACGTCAGTTTTCTTTCCCTGATGTGTTCCTCGTATATGACCCCCCCACCTTTGCTCATGCTGACTCCAGGCTTGATGATTCGCCCCAAGACTGAGAACCTCGACGTCATTGTCAACATCAGTGATGCCGAGAGCTGGGAGCAGCATGTCCAGAAGCTCAACAAGTTCTTAGAGCGTGAGTGTGGAGGCTAGTCTAGGACCTAGAGGAGGGGCTGGGGACCCTAAAAGTGGGACATCAGGCCCCTGACTCTCTCTTTCTCCCTCCCACCTCCTAGCTTACAACGACTCCATCCAAGCTCAAAAGAACGACGTCTGCCGCCCTGGTCGATATTATGAGCAGCCAGATAATGGGGTTCTCAACTATCCAAAGCGTGCCTGCCAGTTCAACCGGACTCAGCTGGGCAATTGCTCTGGCATTGGGGACCCTACCCACTATGGTTACAGCACTGGACAGCCCTGTGTCTTCATCAAAATGAACCGGGTACCCATGACCTTGGCCGCTAGGGAGAATGAACGAGGGAGCTGGGGCCACCATCTGTTAACTAATGTGTCCTTTCACTGGGGTTAATGGGCATTAAAGAGATTTTTGGTTGTTTGTCCTGAGTAAGAGGTGGGGCTGCTGGAAGCTGAGTTCAGGCGCTGGAAGGCTGGGTACCGAGATAGGGCAACGTCTAACCCCACCCTCCTTCCTTTCTTCAGGTCATCAACTTTTATGCAGGGGCAAATCAGAGTATGAACGTGACCTGTGTTGGCAAGGTGAGTGTGTGGGCCTCCCTGCCTGCTGACCTGTTTGTGCTTCATGGTTTCTGAGTGCCTCACCCAGACCTCACCATCTGTTTTGCTTTCAGAGGCCCCAACACTATAGGGACAAGGGGGTAAGAGCGGGCTTACGCAGCTGTAGTTCTAAGGGACTCTTAGCCCTGCTGCTTCTCTCTAGGATACAGAAGCCTGCTCTCCTGGAGACAGACCCACCCCCCTCCTGCACCAAAGCCCTGGCCTCTGGCTCCTTCCCTATCTACCTTCTCTTTTATCTCAGCCGTCTGTGTTTCTGCCATCTTGCCTTGTTTCCCAGTTCCCCTTAGATGTCTGGTAGCTAGCTGCTGATCACTTAGCATCATTTGCTACAGCTAAGTTGTCCTTGGAACCCTGTACCCGTTTCTGTCCCCTCTAGAAATTTGCTGCTCCCCCCCCTCCCCTTCTTCCTCCTGAGTCCTTACTGTTTATCTGTTCTTTCTTGGCTCTGCTCCAGAGACCGATTCCCAAGGATGGGGTAAGAACTCGGGGTTGACAGCGGAGTTGAAGCCTCCACTGTGTTAGCGCCCTTAGGCAATCCCGTCTGATCGGAGACAGGCCGCCCCTTCCTGTAGACATGCAGATAAGAACATGGGTGCACAAACACACCACACACACACACACACACACACACACACACACACACACACACACACACGCACACACCCCTGCAGAGCAGATGCACAGCTCAAGGAAAACAAATTTGAGAGGAATAATTTGGGGTGAAGGAGGTGCAAGGGAAGTCTTGTGAGCTCTTCCAGGTGCCTGCTGATCCTGACAGCCTCTCTCCTTAACCTTCCTGCGCCCCCACAGAGAGATGAAGATGCCGAGAATCTTGGCCACTTCGTCATGTTCCCCGCCAATGGCAACATTGACCTCATGTACTTTCCCTACTACGGCAAAAAATTCCATGTAAGTCCCAGGGATGGCGGCTCCTGGAGGGAAAAACGGGGGTCTTGGGAAAGAGGCCACCAGAGGCTTAAGTCCTCGTCTTCTTCTGGCCTAGGTGAACTATACACAGCCCTTGGTGGCTGTGAAGTTCCTGAATGTGACCCCCAACGTGGAGGTGAACGTAGAATGCCGCATTAACGCTGCCAACATCGCCACAGATGATGAGAGAGACAAGTTCGCGGGCCGCGTGGCCTTCAAACTTCGAATCAACAAAACCTGAGGCTCCCCTTCCCCCCACTTTCCTGTGGATGCTTCTGGAATGTCCTTGACCCTGCCTGATCCCTCCCTCACCCACCCCAAAGGTATTTTTTATAACAGAGCTATGACTTGTCTGCGCCTCACATCCCTGTAAGCCTCAACTTCTCAAGCCAGCCTGATGTCCACACCATTTCCAACCTCTTCCAACCTTAGCTTAGCCAGAGACAGATAGATGGCTATCAGGATGGCCGCAGAGGACTTAGGAGCTTTCTAGTCGGGAGCTGGAGCTGTTACTCAGTGATAGAGGACGCGCCTGGCATGCCCAAGGGCCTCAGCTCTGCTGGACTCTTCCTAGTTTGAGTTTATGAGTGAGATGTCCCAGCTCCTGCCTCAGTTTCAACTCCCACCCCCTGAGAGCTATAGAAAATGGCCATGAACCCACCCACCTATATTCTCACCCCTTCCCCTCCCCTCCACAGGCCCCTTTCCCTCACCTCATAGGCCCCTCCTCACCTCCACATACCCCTCTCCCTCACCTCACAGGCCCCCCTCACCTCCACATACCTCTCCCCCTCACCTCCACATACCTCTTCCCCTCCCCTCCACATACCCCTCCTCCTCACCTCCACAGGCCCTCCCTCCCCTCACAGGCCCCTCTCCCCTCACAGGCCCCTCTCCCTCCCCTCCCCAGGCCCTCCCTCCCCTCACAGGCCCCCCCTCCCCTCACAGGCCCCTCCCCTGGCCACGGTCAGCCCTTTGCTTCCCAGAGATGAATGTTCTTCCACCGTTACTGGGCTCCTCTCTTCCTTTTATCTCTTCACACTTCTGTCACTGTAGCCAGTATCTTGGTGGCTTTGACCTCTGCTTCCTCCAGCAGGTCTTTCTCTCCCCTCCCCTCCCCGTCCCCTCTGAGAAGAGCCATTTGTAACAGTACTGAGTAGGTTCTGTGGCCTTTTCTTTCCTTCCTGGTACCCCCTACTTCTCCCCCAATTAGGAGTCCATGTTCTGGGGAAGGGGGACTGGAAGAGAAGGCTCTAATTCTTCTAGAAAATTCTCTAGTAGGCCTGGACTTGAACTTCTTCCTGGTCCCTCGTGTCATCCAAACAGCTCCTACACAGTCGGGCTTGACCTGGGCTGACTATCCACTTTGTTTTTAACTGTTGACTCCCTTCCCCCACTGGCCTTCCCAGAATATCTTTCAAGTTCTCCTTCCCAGGGAGCTCTGGGGGAGGGGCTGCTGTCTTGGCTCTATCCCCAGTGGCCACCTTGGAAACGTCAGCTGCCTGGGGGGACTCCCTGAGCCCAGATCTACCCACCCCCATGCTCTCTCTGGCTTCTCCTCGCAAGTTAGTAACCGATCACTCACTCACTTCTCCCTTTCTGCTTTCTGCACGCCAGCCTGAAAGCCTCCGACACCCCCCCTCTGGCCCAGCTCCGAGTTTCTGGGCTCCATCTCCTTCAGACTCTTTTGCCTTTAAAAAACAAACAAACAAACAACTCCCATAACTCCCCTAGAATGTTAAGTAAGAGTCTCCTGCTCTGAGTTTTCTTCCGTTGGAGAGGCATTTTCCTCCGGTTCCTCTGCTTGTCTTTATCCTTCCTAACCTCCGCCTTCTTCGTTAACACTGCGGCCCCCCGCATCCCACCCTCGAATGGATCCTTTCCTCTTCCCTCCCACTGGATCTGTGTCTTCCTCCCTGGTGTGCCCGGGTTCTCCCGCCCCTTCATCTTCCCAGTGGTCCCCCCGCAGTTATTTAATGCCTGTGTCAGATCTACTGTAAAAAGGATGAAGTACAATAAAATGAGAGTGATTATATATATAAATATATATCATACACAGAGCCCCGTGTGCTTGTCCTTTCCTGAGAATTTGGGATGATCCTGAGAAACGACTGGAGGATGGATTCAGGAGATGCTGGGGTTGCCCGGGCCTTGAAACGGACCTTTGCCTTCCAGCGGAAGCATCAGGTCCCTTCTCTTATGTCCTCATGTTCACGCACACTGGGTCAGCTCTCTGAAGCCTCTGTGTGGATGCTAGGCGCCTTGAGTAGAGGACACACTTATGCTGAGGGCAGCGCCCTTGGCCCCGGTTTAATAGACGCATAAGAAGCACACGAGAAACTGTCGTACAAGACAGACCGGTGCTTCCGGGAAGGAGAGTGGTCTCTCATAAACGATTTGAGACAGACTAGTTGACGAGATGAAGCCAGTTCCAAAACAAGGGAACTAGGAACTGTAGGATTCCAATTTTTTTCTTTTTTCTTTGAAATTTATGGCAATTTTCCTGCTTTAGCCTTCCGAGTGCTGGTCTGCATGACCATATTGACCTAGGATCTCAATTTTGTGTGAAAATATACAGAAACATACGAAAAAAGGATAGGTGTATATATACATTCGTTGTGCTATATAGGGAAGGAAATGTATTGATAACTAATCATTTTCTTCTTAGGTTGTGGATTTTGTTTTGTTTTTTTTCGAGACAGGGTTTCTCTGTGTAGCTTTTGGAGCCTGTCCTGGAACTTGTTCTGTAGACCAGGCTGGCCTCGAACTCACAGAGATCCGCCTGGCTCTGCCTCCCGAGTGCTGGGATTAAAGGCGTGTACCACCACCGCTTGGCTAGGTTGCGGAATTTACCTTTTGTTTTGGCATTCATGATGTTGTGCATGCACATGTACAAGTTATTTTTCTATGCAAATACTAAGCCCAATTTAATGTGAAGACAGGTTGGCCTTGAACTCCTGATAGGCTCACCTGTACTTCCAGAATATTGCGATTGCAAGTGTGTGCTAGCTCCTAACTTTAATTTTTATTTAAAAAATTTTAATTATGTATTTGCATGTGTGTCTGAGTGTGGGTCTGTGCACATGGGTGCGATGCCTGAGGAGGCCGGAGGCTTTGGATTTCCTGGAGCTGGAGTTACGGGCAGTTGTGAGCCATCTGATGTGGGTGCTGGGAACCCAGCACTGGTAGTCTGTAAGACCAGCATGCACCCCACCCTCCCCCGCAAGACAGGGTTTCTCTGTGTATCCTTGGTTGTCCCTCTGTAGACCAGGCTGACCTTGAACTCACAGAGATCCACCTGCCTCTGCCTCCTGAGTGTCAAGAGTAAAGCATATGCCACCACCACCTGGCCAGTATGCACTCTTAACCCCTGAGCCATCTCTCTAGATCTGGCCTAACTTTAATTTTTAGAGTATGCTTTCTGATCTTTGACAAGAGCAAACAGAGTTCCTTATCCCCTGGCTTTTCCAATTTTCACTGTTGGGAATTGAACTAAAGACCTTTTACATGATAGTATGCTATACAGTACAGCTTCGTGCCCAGTCCTCACTCTGTTTTAAACCACTATTGGCTGTGCCTTGGTACTTAACCTGCCTATAAATTTGTGATAACTTCGGTTGGCAGTGCAGCTGGGTGGTAGAGAACATAGCCTGAGAACCGATGCCTGCTGCTTCTCCCATCCCCAAAGCAGAAGCCTGGCATACACGAGGCCCCCTAGGTTAATTTCCACTGAGTAAGACTGGTAGTATTCGTGAGCACACCTTTTAACCTAGCACACAGGAGGCAGGTGAATCTCTGTGAGTTCAAGGCCAGCCTGGTCTACAGAACGAGTTCCAGGATAGCCAAGGCTACACAGAGAAACCCTGTCTCTAAAAACCAAAACCAAAAAAGCAGAAAACAATAAACCTGGTAGTACTCAGAGACTGAGGCCAGCGGCTAGAACGACTACAGGTTCCAGGTCATCACCCCTCCACGGGAACTTGAAATCAGCCTGAGCTACAGACTCGGTCTAAAAATATAAAAGCCTCCCACCCCCGCTTTCTGAAATGAGGGTGCATGTAGCCGAGGCTAGCCTCCAACTTGCTTCCGTCTTCTGCACTACCCTCCCAGGCACTGCGATGACAGGCATGGGCTTTTCTTTGAGAGAGAGTCTATCTCAATTTCAGTCTAAGATTTATTTTTTCATGTGTATGAATGTTTCGCATGTACATCTGTGCACCACATTCGTGCCTGGTGCCCAAGAAGGCCAGAAGAGGGCATCTGATGGCCTGGCACTGGAGTTACAGATGGTTAGGAGCCGCCATGTGGTGCTAGGAATCGAACCCCAGTCCCCTGAAAGAGCAGCCAGGCCTCCTAAGGGCTGTGTCATTGCTCCGGCCTCTTTTTGGCCTTCTCCAATGCATTAAAACCAAAGTTAGCAGACAGCCCTGTACAGCTCTCACTCCAGCTGAAAATGGTCTTAACCCTTACCTATTTGCAGGATTGATCTGTTGGCCATACAGCTCAGTAGCTTGTATAGTCTGTGCAAGGCCCTCAGTTCAACTTTCAGTATTAAAAAAAAAAAATCAACTCATGGGTATTCTATTACCAGTCTATTCTGCTTTAATTAAAAAAATATCTTTTAAGGCATGGCAGTTGCAATGTAATCAAATATGTTTCAGCACCTGTTGATATGATCATATAATTTTTCCTTTATTTTGTTAGTTATGAATTATGTTGACAGATTCTATGCTAAAATGAACCCTGACTCTGGACTAAACTGGTTGGAGCATAATATTTTTCGAATTCAGTGATGTATTCTGATAATATTTGGGTCAGGGATACCTGATTTGTTTGGCGATGAGTATTAAACCCAGGGCTTCATGCATATTAGGCAAATGCTCCACCAACCGAGTGACATCCGCGCTGTCTTTCTTTCTTTCACTCTGGATGGAGAGAAGGGTCTCTAGCGTGGTAGGCACACACTCCGCAGAGCTACAGTCTTAACCCTTAGTGTAATGTTGTTGTTGTTGTTATTAATATTATTTGAGACAAGGTCTCACTATATAGCCCTTGTGGACCTGGAGCTTGCTATGATCAGGCTGACATCGAACTCACAGAGATCCACCTGCCTCTGCCTCCTGAGTGAGTGCTGGGACTGAAGGTGTGTGACAGTATGTCAGACCCTTAGCATAATTTTGAACAGATTCAGAGACTTTGACTCTTTTCCTGTGTCCCAGGATAAACAGTGGGCCATTTGATCTTATATTTTTCCTTCCAGACTAGCTCAATTTTGTTTGTTTTGAGAAAGGATCTCCTGATGTTGGCCAAGCTACCTGGCATTCTTGCGCTCCTGCCTCAGCTTTCCTCAGAGGAGGTTTTTGTTTGTTTGTTTACTTACCTGCTTGAGACAGTCTCACTATGAAGCACTGGCTGGCCTAGAATGGCTTTGTAGACTAGCCTGGCCTTGAACTCACGGAGACCTTCCCGCCTCTGCTTCCCTCTGCCACCACACTCGGATACTTTACTTTTTGATGTGGGGAATCAAAGCTAAGGACTTCAGGATGGGCACCTGCTTTAACATGGAGTTACACCTCCAGCCCCTCAGTTTCCTCCCTCTCCTCTTCCTTCTTTCAAGGTAGTGTCTTACTGTCTTGCCTAAACTGACCTCCAATCTCTAAGCCCAAATGATCCTTCCCCAGGTCTTCCTTTTCCTTCCCTTTCCTCGTCCCTCCTCTTTCCCCCTCCCCCACCCTTCTCCCTTTCTCTTTTGGTGACGGCACTGGGGATGGACCCAGGGCTTTGCACATCTTGAGTCTCTGCCAAGCTATGGCTGCAGCCTTTTAACTTTTCAATGTAAACATACATTTTAAAGTTCCTGCTTTGGATTTATCCTTTCAATCAGATGTCAGTAATTTATAGCTTCAATTTTAGGATGAGTACTAGGTCCCTTTCTTTTCTTTTCAAAGACTTAGTCACTTGTTTTATTTGTGCATGTGTGTGTCTGAGTGTGTGTATGTGTACCATGTGTGTGCAGGTACCTTTGGAGAAGAGGTTGAATCCCCTAGAGATTTGTGAACCCCCTGATGGGGTGCTGGGAAGAGAACCCTGGTCCTCTGGAAGAGCAGGGTGTGCTTTCAGACATGGAGCCTCTCTTCCAACCCCCAAGTTCCTTCTTTTTCTCTCTTAAATAATGAAAGCACTCAGGGCTATGTATTTCCCAGAATACCTGGATCTCACTCTGTAGCCCAGGCTGGCCTCGAACTCACAGAGATCCGCCTGGCTCTGCCTCCCGAGTGCTGGGACTAAAGGCATGCGCCACCGCCGCCTGGCCCTATGCTTTTTTGTTTGTTTGTATGTTTATTCAAGACGTTTCTCTGTGTAGTCCTGGCTGTCTTGGAACTTTCAGTGTACACCAGGCTGGTCTCAAATCCAGAGATCCAATATGTTTCCTAAATTTCTAAACACACACACACACACACACACACACACACACAATGGGAGGGGTGACATGTTTATAATCACAGCATTCTGGAGGTAGAGGCAGGAGTCCAGTGCATTCTATATTACATAGCAGCCTGGAAGCGAGCTGTGTTGCATGAGACCCTACCACCTCAAAAACTAACAAAACAAAACGAAACAGCAACAATAACAAAACCCCCGAAACCAAACAAAATCAAGCCAGGATAGGGGTTGGGGGTTTGGCTCATGGTATAATTCATGCTTAGCATGCCTAAATCCCAGGTCCAGTACCTCACCATTTCTTCAAAAAACAAAAAAATATATTGACCTAAAATGTTGTAAAGTAGGTTAGAGTTACAAAGAGATTGGATTTTAGACCTCAGTGGAATAAGTTCTGAGGTATTTACCTCCTGGCAGGGGTCATATGCCACAGGGTCCCTGTGAATATCAACTAATAGATGACGGATGCAATCAAGGAAAATAGCCAGTGAGTGGAGCCAGAGAGGTTAGTAATTCACGCCAGGTTACACAGCTCACAGAAGAGCTGGCCAGAAACCGGAAACCTCAGTATTCTCCATCAACTGATACCAGCTCTCAAAAAGGGGATTAGAGGACCAAT